TGGCCACAGGAGACGGCTGACCCTCCACTGGCCACAGGAGACGGCTGACCCTCCACTGGCCACAGGAGACGGGCGGCCCTCCACTGGCCACAGGAGACGGCCGACCCTCCACTGGCCACAGGAGACGGCCGACCCTCCACTGGCCACAGGAGACGGCCGACCCTCCACTGGCCACAGGAGACGGCTGACCCTCCACTGGCCACAGGAGACGGGCGGCCCTCCACTGGCCACAGGAGACGGCTGAACCTCCACTGGCCACAGGAGACGGCCGACCCTCCACTGGCTACAGGAGACGGCTGAACCTCCACTGGCCACAGGAGACGGCCGACCCTCCACTGGCCACAGGAGACGGCCGACCCTCCACTGGCCACAGGAGACGGCCGACCCTCCACTGGCCACAGGAGACGGCTGACGCTCCACTGGCTACAGGAGACGGCTGACCCTCCACTGGCTACAGGAGACGGCCGACCCTCAACTGGCTACAGGAGACGGCTGACGCTGCACTGGCCACAGGAGACGGCTGACGCTCCACTGGCTACAGGAGACGGCTGACGCTCCACTGGCTACAGGAGACGGCCGACCCTCCACTGGCTACAGGAGACGGCTGACGCTCCACTGGCTACAGGAGACGGCCGACCCTCCACTGGCTACAGGAGACGGCTGACGCTCCACTGGCTACAGGAGACGGCCGACCCTCCACTGGCTACAGGAGACGGCTGACGCTCCACTGGCTACAGGAGACGGCCGACCCTCCACTGGCTACAGGAGACGGCCGACCCTCCACTGGCCACAGGAGACGGCTGAACCTCCACTGGCTACAGGAGACGGCTGAACCTCCACTGGCCACAGGAGACGGCTGACGCTCCACTGGCTACAGGAGACGGCCGACCCTCCACTGGCCACAGGAGACGGCTGACGCTCCACTGGCTACAGGAGACGGCTGACGCTCCACTGGCTACAGGAGACGGCCGACCCTCCACTGGCTACAGGAGACGGCTGAACCTCCACTGGCCACAGGAGACGGCTGACGCTCCACTGGCTACAGGAGACGGCTGACGCTCCACTGGCTACAGGAGACGGCCGACCCTCCACTGGCTACAGGAGACGGCCGACCCTCCACTGGCTACAGGAGACGGCTGACGCTCCACTGGCCACAGGAGACGGCTGACGCTCCACTGGCTACAGGAGACGGCCGACCCTCCACTGGCTACAGGAGACGGCCGACCCTCCACTGGCCACAGGAGACGGCTGAACCTCCACTGGCTACAGGAGACGGCTGAACCTCCACTGGCCACAGGAGACGGCTGACGCTCCACTGGCTACAGGAGACGGCCGACCCTCCACTGGCCACAGGAGACGGCTGACGCTCCACTGGCTACAGGAGACGGCTGACGCTCCACTGGCTACAGGAGACGGCCGACCCTCCACTGGCCACAGGAGACGGCCGACCCTCCACTGGCCACAGGAGACGGCTGACCCTCCACTGGCTACAGGAGACGGCCGACCCTCCACTGGCTACAGGAGACGGCCGACCCTCCACTGGCCACAGGAGACGGCCGACCCTCCACTGGCCACAGGAGACGGCTGACCCTCCACTGGCTACAGGAGACGGCCGACCCTCCACTGGCTACAGGAGACGGGCGGCCCTCCACTGGCCACAGGAGACGGCCGACCCTCCACTGGCCACAGGAGACGGGCGGCCCTCCACTGGCTACAGGAGACGGCTGGCGCTCCACTGGCTACAGGAGACGGCTGACCCTCCACTGGCCACAGGGGACGGCTGAACCTCCACTGGCCACAGGAGACGGGCGGCCCTCCACTGGCTACAGGAGACGGCTGAACCTCCACTGGCCACAGGAGACGGCTGAACCTCCACTGGCCACAGGAGACGGGCGGCCCTCCACTGGCCACAGGAGACGGGCGGCCCTCCACTGGCCACAGGAGACGGCTGAACCTCCACTGGCCACAGGAGACGGTCGACCCTTCCCCGGCGCCGCGGTCTAGCGTGTCGTCACATCCCCCTCCCCCCCCCCCCCCCCCCCCCCCTAGAAATCTATGGGATCGGCCCGGGGTCGGGCCGAGGCAGATATGTACGTGGTGATTGTGCAGAAGGCCATTTATGGAGCTGAGACTCTGAGACTTATGAGCTGAGCTGAGACTCATGGACTCCAGGAGCTGAGAACGCCTCTGAACGGGCATGTGCGAGAAGGTTCTGGCCCCCAGCCACGGGTCACGGTGTCACGTGTCACGATTCGGGACCTCTGAGCACTACGCTCTTCTGCGTTCCCCTTCGTTCAGACATTTGATGCACGTTGTTGCATGTTGTTGCCAAACAATAAGCAAGGTGTATAGTCATCTGTGATGAAATCAGGTTTCTGACCCGAAATCTTGGGTCGTTTATCACTAAGTTGGCTGAGAAAGCCAACATGACTAGTCTTCCACGTGTGTTCATGTAGGTGAGTAAAAACTTAAGCCTGATACAAGTTAAGCTTTTTGTTTCGAGGCCGGGTTTTGGCCTTGTGTCTTCATCAAGGCGGCTGAGACTTGACAATGCGCCAGGGCCGAAAAGACGTCCGTAATATAAGAATTTTGGCTGTTATGAAACTGTGGTTCTTTATGACGTTATTATACGTACTCCCCACAACTCACCGGCGCAGCGGCGCACGCGCTTGCACGCGGATCAGAGAATCGGCACACGCATCCGCACACAGATCAGAGCACTGGCACACACATCTGCACGCGAATCAGAGCACCGGCACACACATCTGCACGCGGATCAGAGTACTGGCGCACACATCTGCACGCGGATCAGAGCACCGGCACACGCATCTGCATGTGGATCAGGGCAGAAAACAATAAATTCGTTGGCGAGCGTAACCGTAGCAGCGCGGGCAAGCAGACCCATCAGTGCGTTATTTTTTTAAAATGTTATTGATTACTTAATCAATGTTCTTGGGTATGATTAGTTAAACAGTGTTTTGAGGAGCACTAAGCTTTTTCAACTCAAGTGAAAATTTGGTGCAGTTTGTGATGGCTGTTTTGCGATTTGGCAATGCACAAACCCATCACCTGCGCCTACTTCGCCACCTCCTGCAGCTGAGGCAGCAAGCCCTCGCCCGCTGCGCGCTCGGCGAGCGAATGGAGAATCTGAACCCGTGCGAGAGCCCGAGACGTGATCGACAACTCCTCCCTTCCCAGACGACTTCCATTTACGTGATCACGTTCCCCAGGCTCTTCACACTGCCTTCACATAGCACGGCTGACCTACAGGTCAGGTCACGTGAGGTCAAATCACGTCCTTGCGGTCGTCGCTGGCGGACAGGCATGCTCGGCAATTACGTGGAACGTGAGGGGGAGGAAGTGGGGAGAAGGTACGGCGATTGCATCGCCTGCGATGATCGCTATTTTAGGTTCTGTCCCCCCCCCTTCCGCTCCCAATTTTGAAAAAAAGTGGGCCAATTCCTTTGGAACTCATTTGTCGAAGCATCATTGGAGCAGCTTTCGTCATTTCTCGCTGCTCAGCCCACAACTTATGTTGCGAGACTACGCCCGTTTTGGAGGTCGCGAAAGGCTACCTGTATGCTCATTCCACTATACGCAAAGGCCCTGAGATAAACTGCCGCTCTCTTTCAGCAGTATACTGTGCTGGGCAGAATGCTTGCAGCGCCTTTCAGTTTCTATCAGTGGCCGGTGGGGAGTAGCATGAGCTGCGTACGGGGAGTGTGTGCAGGAGTTGTGATGAGTGTCAGACGACAGTGACGTCGGACGACGTCAGACAGTGACGTCAGACGACGTCAGACAGTGACGAGAGCTCATGGCTGCCACTGGGGCTTACCGAAGCACTCAGCTGCTGAGGCTACGTGGCGTCGCCTGCCTCCTACCCCGGCAGAAAGCGCGGGCACGGCGGCGAATCGAACCCCGTACCTCTGGCTTCTCAGACGCACGACGGTCAAATTGTTATACAGCCGGCACCATAACCTATTGCTCAGCAACGAAGGATCGCGAATGCTGAAATATGGCAGCTAAATAAGGCAACAAAAAATTAGCACTGTGTCGGCTGAGTAAAATGCGTGCTACCAGAAGATACCGTCAAGCATTTTCTTACTTTAAATTTTTATTTCCATTGCTTCCGGTTACAGCAGTGCAAAGCGTACGTTGGATCTCCGGGATTCTCCCCTTGGATTTTTTTGCATCGTTTCATGATATTGCCTCTGCTCTCCTCTCCCTCCTTGAATTGATTCGTAAACCCACCAGCGTCGTAAGTATCCTTTGATACAGCAAACTATTTTTATTCTGAAATGTTTGTCAAGCTGAGAGACCGATGCTGACTTGTCTGGAGCTGAAATAAATGTAAACGACCGCATTTGATTTCCGCAAGGACACGTGGACAATTCTCATGTCTATTTTTGGCGCGGTGAGCTTTCGTGAAAGCCCCTGACAGTCAAATGAACTGCCTTGTCATTTCATTTGGCCACCAGTTGAAAAACATTACATGTTGATTACTGCATGATTATTCCGCCTCTGAGGGCTCTTACCCTCGCCCGTGGATTGATAAGCGCCGTTCCGCGACGTTTCTCAGTACGTTACATGTAGATACACCATTGTATGTGTGTGTATATGTATGTATGTGTGTCTGCCCGCATTTTCCATGCGTGTCTGCTCGTCTGCCCGCCCCCTAGTGTTTGCTTATGATCTTGTGATGTGATGCACGATGCCACCGACCCGACCTGACCTGACCTGACCTTCCAACCTGACTTGGTGTAAAGTGACCTGGTCTGCCGACCTGACCTGACCTGCCAACCTGATCTAGCCTAACCTGACTTGTTGACTAGATCTACCGACCTGACCTGACCTGACCTGACCTGACTGTCCGCCTTGTCTGTCGGCAGGCGCCGGGCACCGACCAGTGGTGCATCTGCCAGGGCGCGCGCGGCCTTCCGGGCGTGCCTGGCCTACCCGGACAGGTCGGCATGCAGGGTCTGCATGGCGAAACGGGTCCCATGGGCCCGTTCGGACGTGTGGGCCCGCGCGGCGACCGGGGCCCATCCGGGGACCCGGGCGCGCGCGGCGACCGCGGCGAGCCCGGCCTCCTCGGCTTCAACGGAGCGCCCGGCCTGCCGGTCAGTATCGAAGGCGGCGCCGCCGGTCGGGATCACAGCGACCCCGGGGTCACTGAGGCCTCGGGGTCACCGACGTCGGACACGCGGAACACCGGGAGGTCATTACGGTTGAACCCGGCGCGTTGAGCCGCGTGTTTTAACCCTCGCTGTGCGTGTGAAGGGGGTGCCTTTCCTGCCGGGAGGGGCGTGCTTCTATAAAGGCCCGCGGTGCTGTCAACGCTGGCGCTGTTGCGCTGCGTTCGTGTCGGCTTTGCCTGGGATGATTCGGTGAGTAGCGCACCAATCAGCGGAGCGCGCCATTTGAATACAGTTTGACGCGTTTGGCCTGTGCTCTGTGTTAAGTTCCGGAAGGTTGGCTTTGTGAATTATGATAGTGCCTTGCTGCGAGTGGGAGAGCCGAACAGTGCTGCCGACACAACGTTGCGTGTAGTGATGCCTGAAGGTCATGTCTGATGGATGTGTCTGATAGTGCTGTATGCTGGTGATGTCTGCTAGTAATTCCGATATCTCACGTGAAGCCCAGACGGTGAGCAGCAATGGGCTTGCCACTGACCGTCTGTGCGTCGTGCGGCTGTCTGCTAATCGTCCACGTGTCGCATGGCTGTCAGGTGAACTGCCGCGTCTCACATGGGTGTAGGCGTCCACTGACCTGTTGCCGTCACATGGTTGTCCACTGGCCTGTCGTCTAGCAGATGGCTGTCCACTGACTTGCTGTATATCACATGGCTGTCCACTGGCCAGCCGTATGTCACATGGCTGCCCACTGGCGTGCTACCTAGCACATGGCTGTCCACTGGCCTGCCGCCTGTCACATACACGGCTGTGCTTTGACCTGCTGTCTGTCACGTGGCTGCCCTCTGACCTGCCGTGCGTGGCAGGGCGGCCCCGGTCCGCTGGGAGCTCGGGGTGACCCCGGTGTCAAGGGCTGTACCTGCGTGGACGGCCTCCCGGGCCGGGACGGCCTACCGGGCCTGATCGGGCCGCGCGGAGCAGCAGGTGAGGCTTCTTGGGGGGGGGGGGGGGAGGGAGAGGGGAGTGGGTGACGTCCGACGTCAGTTGCAACACCGGCAGTCACCGGCGTGAGCCACGACCACCACTATTTGCTGTTTATGTTTTTTGCTGTTTATGTTTATGTTTATTTGCTATCATGTTTACCAGGTCATTTTCCGTCGCTTTTAGTCACGAAATCGACTGGCGTTTCGAGTTCTACGATTGCGCTGTTATAGACAGTGATATGATATGAGGCGTTGTGTGTTTATGTATGTTTATGTTGCATGCACATCAGTATGTATTCATGTGTGTCGCCCCGCATACTTGAATTAAGCAATTGATTCCATTGCTTTTTCCAAGTCCATTGGAACCGGTCATATCTATTAGGAAATTCTGCGCAGTTAACTTCTTGTACCCGCAAAGGACGCGACATTGAACACACGAGATGTTGTCCTAAGAGATGTGTTCGGTGGGTCACGGGCTGTGAGCTGCAGCTGCCCCACTCTGACACCGTGTCACGACACCAGCGGTGGCTTACTCTGACACCGTGTCACGACACCAGCGGTGGCTCACTCTGACACCGTGTCACGGCACCAGCGGTGGTCCACTCTGACACCGTGTCACGACACCAGCGGTGGCTCACTCTGACACCGTGTCACGACACCAGCGGTGGCTTACTCTGACACCGTGTCACGACACCAGCGGTGGCTCACTCTGACATCGTGTCACGGCACCAGCGGTGGTCCACTCTGACACCGTGTCACGACACCAGCGGTAGCTCACTCTGACACCGTGTCACGACACCAGCGGTGGCTCACTCTGACACCGTGTCACGACATCAGCGGTGATCCACTTAGCGCCGTGTCATGACACCAGCGGTGGCCACTCTGACACCGTGTCACGACACTGCAGGTCCCAGCGGCCTGCCCGGACTGCCGGGCGATCCAGGCGAAGGAGGCTCGGCCGGCGCCAAGGGCGACCCCGGCGAGGACAAACCGCCCGGTCCACCGGTGAGAGCTCCCGCCCCCGGCCGGTGACGGGGCCGGCGCCTGCGCACCGGTGACCGGCGCCTGCGCACTGGTGACCGGCGCATGCGCACCGGTGACCGGCGCCCGCGCACCGGTGACCGGCGCCCGCGCACTGGTGACCGGCGCCTGCGCACTGGTGACCGGCGCCTGCGCACCGGTGACCGGCGCCTGCGCACCGGTGACCGGCGCCCGTGACCGCAAACCACGGGCGGCAGACCGGCGCCGCCGTCGGAAGTGGCCTTCCGCACGAATGCCGAACTGTGCTGTGCTGCTGTGCTGCTGTGCTGCTGTGCTGGGCTGTGCACTGTGCTGCGACGGCTCGATCGACGGTTGAGGTTTTCTGCGAGAATATTTGGCAATTACTTTTTTGTGATGCGACTGGATGCCTATAATGCTGAACTTAAAAGAAGAACTGAAAAGTGACTACGCTCTGCTTCCTACGTTTTTTTTCCCGTTGTTAGTTTCCGCCTCTTAGTGGAATGTAGCGACCTGCAATTTGACGCTTTCCGGTGTTAACATATGGCCCTTTGCGTCGCTGGGAAAGTGGAAGGGGCGCTTGGGGTTGATTTTTCATGGGTGGTGGTCAGAACGAAAAGCTGTGCGAGTTCTAACAAGCTGTTTGCAGTTAGGAAGCTTTGAAGAATGTAACTTAGTTAATTGGAGCTTGAACATGTCAGAAGGATGGAAAAGCGTAAACCTTCCCAGTGGCGTCGTTTCCCCCGAAATCCCGCACATCTGACACGTGACCTCTGACCCCGCCATTTGATCTCTGACCGCAGGGCCTGCCGGGCTTCGCAGGACGGCCAGGCTACAAGGGTCAAGAGGGCGAACAAGGATATCGCGTAAGTGTCTCCCTTCATCGATGGTTGCAGATCTGAACGCACTGCGCGTGTCAGGCTGCATACTTGTTCACTTCTCCACGACGGCGAATGTTATTGAAGCGTTGTTCAAGGGAACGCTTTATCATCAGTTGAGGATATTGTGGATCAATTATCATCAGATAATCAGCAGCAATATCGTTCATATAAATATGCATATATATATATATATATATATATATATATATATATATATATATATATATATATATATATATATATATAAGCGTTGTAACTACGTAACTATATATTTAAGTAATGAGTAATAAGTAATTTCATCAGATGTCGTGGAAATTGTAATTTATAACTACTGATATACTTCCAATGTTTTTTGTTTATGCGTTTATGTGTTAATGTGGACCACTCCTTGTAAAGGGGTATTTCACATTTCTATGGAGTTTTGAAGTGAAAAAGTCATGTTGAAGATCATTCGGTGCAGTTCACAGTCCTGCCATTCTTAAGACCTGAAGCCCTCTAGATTCTGACCTACACCACCGCAGACATCAACGTTCTATTTCTTGCGGACTGCATCAAGGCATCCAGGCATCCAGGCATCCAGGCATCCAGGCCATCCAGGCATCCACGACGCCATAATAACGTTATTGAAATCTTATCATTGCATTGGCCATGCGACGATCAATGCCAAGAAAAATATAATTGTCAAGTCATTCATATCTGACTTTCGTGGGCACGATTTCCAGATAAAACGTCTGGAGAGCCCACAGGTCGTAGGTGGGTTCTCAATCAATGTTGTGCGAGGTATAATTACGCAGTCAAACAATGACGTAGTGAGGAGCACATTTGCTAAATAGAGAAATTGCGTTGTCTAGAGTTGCATTTTCCACTTAAAAGTGCATCGATAGTTATCAGTGAGCATATTTCATCCTATCCGATGTTTTCCATTGTGTCACTGTGTCTATTGTGTCTCCACTGGACGCCGAATATCTTCAAATGTGGGGCAATCCCTTTACAGGAACCGTTCTTCAGTGCTTTAGCGCTTATAAGGCCCTCGTAGTGCTTCACAGCTCTGAAGGGGACAATGCCCGAAGCGTCTGATAATGTCCGTGCAATGGCGACTCACCCACCACCCTATACAGCATACGGGCCGACAGGCATTAAGAAGATGAAACAATGCCTTCGAACATTGATTTCTCTACGGTCGTAAAACTTCATTGGAACGGACACCGTGTGACCGTACTGCGCAGCTCTGTTCAAATGTCGCTGTCGTATTTTCACGATCATGCTGGATTGTGACGTCATGGAGGATCGCTCTGTTGGAATGATGCGCGTGCATTAACTAAATACGTTGGAATATGACGCCGCCGTTATTTGTCGTGCATCTCTACCGGAATGCGCGCCAATTTAGCACGCGTATCCTTCGCTCGACTCCACCTCTTTTGGAATACGTCACTGCATGACTGCATTGGAAGCGACGGTATAGACTGCACAGAAGACTGCACAGAAATCAGAAATAGGCTGCACCATAGTCTGCTGGAACATGATGTGCGCGTCGGAACACTGTTGGAACGTAGCACCCCTTACGTGAGGTGACACTCGGACACTGTGAGGTGACACTCGGCCACTGTGAGGTGACACTCGGCCATGGTAAGGTGACACTCGGACACGGTAAGGTGACACTCGGCCTTGATGAGGCGGCACTCAGACACGGTGAGGGGACATTCGGACACGGTGAAGTGACATTCGGATACGGTGAGGTGGCACTAGTACATGGTGAGGTAACACTCGCACATGGCGAGGTGACATGCAGGGTACATGCATGTCACCTGATGCAGGGTACATGGTGAGGCGATACTAGGACATGGTGAGGCGACACTCGGACATAAGGTATAAGGTAAGGTAGCTCTCGAGCATGGTGACGTGACGCTGGGTCAGGTGTTGCCCCTTCACACCCCGCCGCGCTGCGCCGCTGTTGCAGGGCTCGGTGGGGCCAGTGGGCATGCCGGGCCGACGTGGTGAGCCGGGCGAGGACCGCCACGGGCCAGCCGGGCCGAAGGGCTTCCAGGGGGAGCAGGGCGCACCCGGCTCTGACCTGACCTATCTGGACCCGGACATCAGCCGACCAGGACCAGCGTAAGGCCCGGCGCGGGCGCGGCCCCGCTCCGGGGCCCGCCGCGGGAGGGAGGGGGGGGGGGGGGGGATAAAGAGGCGCAGCTGCGCCGTGCCGCGTCAGGTGGTGAGGCTCCCGACATGCGGAAGGGCCCGGTGCTCCGCGTGCAGCATCAGGCGGCAGCCTCGCGGGCTACGGCAGCCGAAAACTAGGCACAGAAGCCAGCATTTTCGGCCCAGCTTGTCTTAAAATGCAATTTCTAAGTTGTCATTGAGAGGACATGGATGTCGCGTCAATCAGCTACCAAACTCAGGCCCAGCACCGATAAAACGTGCTGTGAGTGGACTCCACGCTCACATTGCCCGAAAAAGAAACCGACTCACATCATCTGACCCCGCATTGAGCCCTCTTGTCCGCCTCGATACGCCAGCGGGTCTCGAAAAGACCCATTTGGATATTCTTGAAGGTCACCTCAGCATGGTCTGCAGGCATTTGGCAGACTTAGGAACGAGGCGGCCGAGCAGGCCGCATCTCTCCTAAGCACCGTGGGGGCTGCCACGATTCAATCCGAACCTGGTTGCCGTGCCCGGTCCAATGTAAAGGCTGCTTACGGTTTATTTTGTTTGTGTTAGAAGCTGTTTGGACCCGGTACGAATGAAACGGTGGATAAGCACTGTAGCCAGAAACCAGCATTGCACTGCTATTAGAGACCAGCATTGTGCTGTTACCATGCGCCTTCAAATGTCATGTCTTGATGCGTTCTAGCAGCGCCCACTGATGTCAAGTGATCCCCGAGATAGCGCATTGTGACTGAGACGCCGACCTTTGGTCGCGCAGCACTTCACGCAGCCCGCTGTGACCGTGCGGTGACGGGGGTGCCCCGCTGTGACCGTACGGTGACGGGGTGCCCCGCTGTGACCGTGCGGTGACGGGGGTGCCCCGCTGTGACCGTACGGTGACGGGATGCCCCGCTGTGACCGTGCGGTGACGGGGTGCCCCGCTGTGACCGTACGGTGACGGGGTGCCCCGCTGTGACCGTGCGGTGGCGGTGGTGTCCTGCTGTGACCGTACGGTGACGGGGTGCCCCGCTGTGACCGTGCGGTGACGGGGGTGCCTCGCTGTGACCGTGCGGTGGCGGTGGTGTCTTGCTGTGACCGTACGGTGACGGGGTGCCCCGCTGTGACCGTACGGTGACGGGGTGCCCCGCTGTGACCGTACGGTGACGGGGGTGCCCCGCTGTGACCGTGCGGTGGCGGTGGTGCCCCGCTGTGACCGTGCGGTGACGGGGTGCCCCGCTGTGACCGTGCGGTGACGGGGTGCCCCGCTGTGACCGTGCGGTGACGGGGTGCCCCGCTGTAACCGTGCGGTGACGGGGGTGCCCCGCTGTGACCGCGCGGTGGCGGGGTGCCCCGCTGTGACCGCGCGGTGGCGGTGGTGTCCTGCTGTGACCGTGCGGTGACGGGGGTGCCCCGCTGTGACCGTACGGTGACGGGGTGCCCCGCTGTGACCGTGCGGTGACGGGGTGCCCCGCTGTGACCGCGCGGTGACGGGGGTGCCCCGCTGTGACCGTACGGTGACGGGGTGCCCCGCTGTGACCGTACGGTGACGGGGTGCCCCGCTGTGACCGTACGGTGACGGGGTGCCCCGCTGTGACCGTGCGGTGACGGGGTGCCCCGCTGTGACCGCGCGGTGACGGGGGTGCCCCGCTGTGACCGTACGGTGACGGGGTGCCCCGCTGTGACCGTGCGGTGACGGGGTGCCCCGCTGTGACCGTGCGGTGACGGGGTGCCCCGCTGTGACCGCGCAGTGACGGACGTGCCCGCTGTCTGATGCAGGGGGCCGCCGGGCCTCCCTGGCCCGCTGGGCTGGCCAGGAGAGCCGGGCGCCTATGGCCCACCGGGCCCTGGCGGTCAACCCGGCTGGCCCGGCACGCCCGGCCGCAAGGGACCGCCCGGCTGGCGGGGCAGCGACGGACCACGTGGCAAGCTGGGCCGACCTGGCCCGCCGGGGCAGTTCGGAGCCAAGGGCGTGCTGGGCACGGCTGGCGAGACCGGCCGGCCAGGCCTGCCTGGTCTCAAGGGCCTGCCGGGTGTGGCCGGCGTGCCGGGGAGGCCCGGGCTGCAGGGTGACCCAGGCCCCAAGGGCCTCTACGACCCGAGCATCGGTGGCCCGCTGCTCGGGCCTCCCGGCGACCAGGGCGACTACGGCGCGCCGGGCCCCGCCGGCCTGCCCGGCCTGGACGGCCTGGACGGCAGGCCGGGCCCGCGCGGCTGGCGGGGCCCGCCAGGGCCCGACGGACCCGCGGGCCCGCCGGGCCGCCAGGGACCGTCAGAACCCGGCGCCCCGGGCCGCGACGGCCGCCCGGGCGGCGAAGCCGGGCCCCGTGGTCCGGCGGGCTCCCGAGGCCCTGAGGGCTTCGTCGGCCGCCGCGGCCTCCCGGGAGCCCCCGGCCGCGGTTTCGACGGCCCCGACGGCCGGCCAGGACGCCCCGGCCTCGACGGCTTGCCCGGACGCCGAGGAGACACCGGCTTCCAAGGCGAGTGTCCACAGGCGGTGGGCGCGCGCCAGCCGCCGCGAGCGCCGCCCGGCAGACCGGTGACCGCGTGTTGTCCATCGACGTGCTGCGTGGTGGCGGTCCCGCGTAAGGTCTGCTGATGGTGGCGGGTTGTGTGGTTCGTTCGGGTCGGAGGCCTGGCTGGTAACATTTCGGGAAGGCATCGTCGCCCAATTTTCCTGGATATACGTTATTAGTTCGTATTATTTTCTATTGTGGCTACGCTTGATTTATTTCGTCCGAGACGTGATCGTTGAATGTCGGGCGTAGTAGATTTTAAGTTTTGGACTCCTTTTAACTGAGCTTTTTAACACAAAGGTACCATAACTTGGAAAACCCTGCAGCGCTGCGCTGCGCTGCGCTAGCGCTGCATCTCCAGAACAAAAAATTGAGTTAAGTACAAAATAAAATACGAAATCAGAACTATCTTTTCGGCAATTTTATTTTCTACACGTGGCCATGACTTTTGCTTAAATCATCCCTCGTTTGTATATCGCTAAATGTACCAAAACGTTCGCATGCAGGCGTTTGAATTAGGTTAGGGGTAATTCAAAGCTCTTTGAAGAATTTGGGGTATGTTGTAAAGAAGATTCAATGTGTTGTTCTTTTGGTTCCCCGTGTGTACTCTGTGAATACAGCTCGCAAGCGCTGATCATTAAGTTGCAGTAAAATGTCCTTTTGCCCGCACACCTGCAGTGAGTCAGTGAAACACCAACACGAATGCTCAATACGAATTTTATCGCTGACCTCTTTGCCTTTGCCTTGCCGGGATCAAACTGGGTTATCCGGGTGTTCGCCGCGGTCTTTCATTGAACCTGCAGAGTCGCCATGCGCTGCTGATTTAGGCCAACACTGCAATGTATGTCAATCGAAGGCGTGCTATGTGATAGAAGCCGGCAGCTGGCGGTGCCTGCACCGCTCCTCTGAGCGCTGACCGGACACCGGACCGCGCTCTGAGCGCTGACAGGGCACCGCACCGCCCCTCTGAGCGCTGACCGGACACCGCACCGCACTCTGAGCGCTGAACGGTCGCCACACCGCCCCTCTGAGCGCTGACCGGACACCGCACCGCGCTCTGAGCGCTGAACGGTCGCCACACCGCGCTCTGAGCGCTGACAGGGCACCGCAACGGCCCTCCGAGCGTTGACCAGCCACTCCGCCGCTCCTCTGAGTGCTAACCGGCCGTCGCGCCGCATCCCTGAGCTCTGACCAGCCGCCCCGCGCCGCAGGAACCAAGGGCACCGCAAGTCTGGTGCCGGGGAACCCAAGACCGGGCCCGCCCGGGCCGTCGGGCCCGCCGGGTCCGCCGGGTCTGGACGGCTTGCCCGGCCCGGACGGCACGGACGGTCTGCCGGGCCCCAGTGGCCCGCCGGGTGACGACTGTACCCCATATGGAGGTGAGCGCCCCCCCCCCCCCGTCCCCCTCCGGCGGCGCCCAGACCCACGCTGCCTGCTGTGTGTTGCGGGAGTCTGCTGTGATGGTACGATGAATGGGGGGGGGGGGGGGTAACCAAGTGAGGGTGAACTGGTCTCAACGGGACGGACGGGCTCAGAGCGCCTGTCCTGCGTCTCCCGGCGTGGCGTGTCTTGCACCTTCACACGGAATGTGTCTCCGTCGCCGGATGACTGAAGCAGCGTGTCGCGCCGCCGCCCCGACCTGACGTATGTCTGTGTTTGACCCAGTGACCTGGGCTGACCTGTACCCGCGCTTGACCCGATGACCTGCCCTGACTGTGTACCCGTAGCCCTGTGACCTGACCCGTGACCTGACTTGGCGTCCCGCTCGTCCTCAGGGTCGCCGTGCCAGAAGGGCGAACGTGGCTGGCCGGGACTGCCCGGCCGGCCCGGCCCGGACGGGGTCGCCGGTCCCCGCGGTCCCTTCGGACCACCGGGACTGCCAGGCCTGGTGGGCCGCAGCGGCTACCCCGGTCTCGATGGACTGCCCGGCGCTGCAGGTGGGCAGGGCTGCGGACCGGGCTGAGCTGGGCCGGACCGGGCCGGCCCGGACCAGACCGACTGAGCTCGACCGGACCGGACCAGGCCGGCCGAGCTTGACCGGGCCGAACCGGCTGGGTTCGACCAGACCGGATTGGACCGGACCGGGCTGAACTGGATCGGACAGGACCGGACCGGACCGGGCTGAGCTGGATCGGACCGGACCGGCCGGACCGGGCTGACCTGGTTGCACTTGACCTGTTGGTATTAATATGCGACAGGACATGCTGTACACTCTCGTGATGGCTTACTGCGCGCGAGGTTTCAGAAAAGCTACACATTCATTTAGCTTCGCGAGATCGCTTATGTTTCCAAATAGACTCAGTGTATGTTTTGAACGTTGACACTTTGCCGGTTTTGGGAAACGTTTGTGGCCTGAAGTAACGAAATGAAATTCGCATTCAGATCTGAAAACACTTGGCTGCAGGGTGACATCATGATCACATGTTGCGTTTAGTTTGGACAAACTTTTTACAGCTTATGTGCGGCTGCCCAAGGGCCAAACTCAAGAGGCGGCAGTGACCCGACTTTTACCACTTCTCGTCCTCCGCGTGATGAGCCGGTAGCCTCCCTGTTCCAGCGCCCCCTCCCCCTCTCCCGTGACCCGGCGCCGCCGTGCCGCAGGCGTGGCCGGCTCGCCCGGCTGGCCCGGTTCCCCCGGCCTCCTGATCATGCCGCCGGGCACCGCCGGCGACAGGGGGGCACCAGGCGCGCCGGGCTTCCGCGACGGCGAGCCTGGCCCCGCCGGCCGGCCCGGCCCCCGACGGCCTGGACGGGCTGCCCGGCAGCGCAGGCCTGCCCGGACTGCCGGTAAGACGCGGAGGAGACAGCACACTGCCCTGCGGCACTCCAGGCCACATAGCCACAGTCGTCTCCTGACACATGGCTGACAACCAGGATGGGACGTTGACGCTGTTGGGGTGGTGTTGCTGTTAGCGACAATGGACCGGTATGACAGATCGGTATGCCGCATGACAGCTTTCTACAGCAGGTCTGCTTGGTTGCATGCTTACCTGATGTCATCTCTAGCCGAGATAGAGTGGTGAGACAAGCAGGGAGATGCCCAGAGCGGACTTCGGGCGAACTGAGAGTAGTCCGCATAAGGCGATGCTCCACCAAAGCTGAACACTGAACCCACACCATCCAGCATGGTTTTGCATGATCAGCAATGAATGTGACTCTGGTTTGGTGTTGAGACCTGGGACGGGACGGTATTGCTGTGAGTGCACTTCCATCGAAATAATGCAACTCTAAGTACACGCGAGGTCAGAAAATTATATTCTGGGCGAATATGAGACTGACACTTCATCACCGCGGACGGGGATGGGACTGTCAAATCTCATGACGGCTCATGTGTGCGTAAAATACTGGTGATGCCTAAAATTTAAATAATTTTTATATTTATTACATAAATTATATATATATATATATATATATATATATATATATATATATATATCATATAAAAATATTATTAAATAATTAAATAATTAATAAGAAAACCAGAGTGAATTTTTAGACGGATGATGAGCAACGTCATAATTTCTACCAGGCAGGGGTAGGTCGAAGCTACCCCTGCCTTTAGCTATCTTGAACCTGCTGCCTCGAGCCTACCACATTGGAGCTAACGGTTAGCTTCGACTCCTGTAACGGTTACGTGACAAACATTTTCGGCGCGGCATCGTTGGTGATGTTGGCGTGTGTGTCTCAATATACAAGTTCGCTATGCGCCATGATCATTTTGCTAATGATCTCACAGCAACTGATGTGACAACTTATGGTGAATCTTTATCTCTGTGATCTTTGGTACTTGGTATGGCTATGGTATGGCTATGGTATGGCTTGGTATGGGAAATGTCATGATGTCACGCCAAAGATCTCACCATCATGTCGCACTATGGTCGGCTTTTCCCTTCGTCACGTCATTGCACCGTACGATTTCTATGACCGTCAGCGCGTTGTAGGGCTTTCCGCGAGTGCTGACCTGACTCCTGAACGCCTAACCCCAGGGCGAGTACGGCGAGCCCGGTCTGCCGGGACTGGACGGCACCGACGGCCGGCCCGGACGTCCGGGCACGGACGCCGCCACGTTCAACGTCTTCTACCTGAAGGGAGAGAGCGGTCCGCCCGGCCTAGAGTAAGCACTCGTCCCTGCTGCGACTAAGCGGCGAGTTGTCTCACACCGTCCGACAGTGAGCTGCAGTGGAGGTCCCGCTCCGTCCACGAGCGAGCTTTGAGAGCGGTCTTGTCCTGGCTCGGGGCCGGCTGCTGGTAGCGTCTCGAACACCGACTCCGTCCGGTGTCCGGCAGGCTGACCTGGAGAGCCCGGAGGGGGGGGGGGGCGGGGCGCAGCTGGGGGTTCGGCTCTTAGGAGCGACAAGCCTGATGACGATGATTGGAATTATTAGCAAATGAATATTAATTATATGGCGACTATTAGGGGTGCTCCTGAAAATGGGAGGCTTTAGAGCGGCACAGCCAAGATGATCGGCGGTGGTGAGCCTAGACAAGCAGCTCGATCCGAAGGGCGGGATGATCCTCTTATTCCGGAGAGATCATGTCTTGAAACACTTCAGTCAGAGGCGGATTCATAACGACCAACCCCCTCCCCACACACCAAGATGGCCAAAGTCTGGCAAGAAATGATAATTCTGGAGGTCGAATGGAATCTAAGCAGCACTTATGCAGAAACATTTGCTTTAGGACACCCTGGAGATAAATTAAGCAGAATGAGATGAGCTTTTCAAAATCAGGACACCTTTTTCTATTTTTCCCCCAAGCAGGTGCTGTTCCCCTGCCCCCCCCCCCCCTAAAGGCGACGTTGTGGAACCGCCTTTGACTCCAAATGTAAGACGTTCTGCGACATATATGTGAAGTCAAAATTAAGAGAAAAGACGCTAAGCGTTGTTTGGAATGTTCGCACCTACGAGGCCGTCATTAAGTCCTGACCCGAGTTGCACCCCATTCATCCTACCCTCACTCCCGAACGTGAGTACTGCACCCGGCAAATGTCCCGCGCGCCACACTGCACCACCTTGGCCTTGTACAATGTGACCTTCCTAGGAGCCGCGTGTGGTCCCGGCCTTCCCTGTTTCGCACGTGGTCACGGACTGCCCTGATGTCGGCCGTGGTGGGAGCTCGACGCGACGGGCCTGCCTTGGCGTCGTCCGTCATTGCCCGCTCTGTGCCGCACCCCAGCATCAAGCCATCAAGCGCGCGTGCTCAACACCCGCCTTCTTTGCAGCGGACCGCCGGGACTGGACGGCCCGGACGGGCCCGCCGGGGGAGCCAGGAGACGCCAGCGAGCCCGATGTTGGCCGCGGCAGGCCGGGCGAGCCCGGCGAACCGGCTTTCCAGGTGGGCGGCCGACGCCGCGCGCTCGGCCGGTCGGCGCGGCGCGGCGGCGGCTGCGGGCGGGCGGTTGTCACGCGCGAGAGTGCGGGGAACTGATGAAACGTGCCGGCTAACAACGCGACAAACGTCCATGTTCTGCAGCACAGCACCGGTTTGAATTCTCTTCACCGCCGTGGAACGTGCTTGTACAAGTGGTAGCCCGAGGGTGCCGGAAGCTTAATGATGGTCCAACTTCGCTCTAATTCTTGAACAGAAGCGCCAGCGAGCACTGTGATAACGCAGGCACAACTTCCTGGCTTTTTCGAAGTGGCAGCGCCCTCTGATGTTTTGCAGCTGCTTCCGTTCCGACCCCCAGGCATTCATATATAAGATTAAATACTGAAAGACCAAATGCTACTGAAACCCGAACATACCCGTATGATTTGTCATAATCGCGTTGTCGCGTGTTTGTCTTCCCAATGCAATGACATTTTTAAGTTGCCCCCCGAAAACGTAACGTTATTAAATGCTCTACGGCGGTGTTTCCAATCACCGCCGGGCCCATCCCCAGCGACAGCACCATGACGAGTCCTGTTGCAGGTCCACCGGGCCTGAACGGGCCCCCGGGCTTCCGCGGTGCCCGGGTCGAATCGGGGCCGCGAGGGTGGCCGGGGCGCCGGGGCCCTCCCTCCGCGGTCCGCCCGGCTTCAAGGGCTTCCCGGGAGGCCCGGGCGGGGCCGGCCTGCCCGGCCTGGCCGGCGCTGACGGACAGCCCGGCCGGGGCGGAGACCAGGTCAGGGCGCGCGCACACCGCGCACCGCCGAGCGGCTCCGCGCGCGTGGCCCAGTGCGGTTCGCGTGGTCCATTCAAGGGTACTCCTGCTATGCGTGGTTCGTGCTGCGCTGCACCGTGTCCGGAGCTGCTCTGTCGGCGATCGTGTCACCGCCGTGCCGCCTGTCGGCACTCGTGTCACCGCCGTGCCGCCTGTCGGCGCTCGTGCCACCTACCGTGCCGCCTTTCTGCGCCTGGACGGCAGCAGGCCGTATTTTTCCGCTGCCTTGACCGCTGCGTTCCGCTTGTTTTTTCCGTCGCGGTTTCTGCTGCGTCCCGCCGTCTGGCCTCGACGCAGTGCTTGACCTTTGACCTCCGTTCCCCTGAGGGCAGGGCTGGCCCGGCCTGCCCGGCTTCCCCGGCGACCCGGGGCCTGCCCATCCTGCCCGGCACGCCCGGACCCAGTGCGCCGGACGGCCTGCCCGGCGAGCCCGGCCGGCGCGGGCCGGACGGATCGGACGGACTGCCCGGACCGCGCGGACCGTCCGGCAGACCTGGACGGGCCGGGCGACAGCGCTCCGGATGGGACACCCGGGCTTCAAGGTGCGGCCGCCGGGGCGTCGCAGGGGCTTTTGAACGGGCAGAGGATGGTGATTGGGGAATTGGCGCCGTAGCGGTAGTTATTCGCCGCCACGTGCTGATCAAGGTAACCGGTCCTGTGTGTGGCTAGATGCATGGGTGACCTATGAATGGATGCTTATATTTCAAAAAATTGAAGCCAGACGAAGTAACAGTTGTCACACAGGAAGAAACGTGAAAGACAGGGTAGAAGGCCTAAACAGATGGACAGTCATATATGCAACTAAATGAACAAAAAGGCAGGTAAACAGATGGACAGATGAAACGTTAGGCAGGAAGTCAGATGGTTTAATGCGTTATATGCCGTCCCACCTGCTAAAAAGGCCCTTCCTAGATGGCTGTCTAGGGCCCTGTGTGTCACAGTAGACCCTTGGGCGCCAAAATAGGATCCTGAGTGCCACAATAGGCCCGTTGGGCTACAATAGGCCCGCGGCTCTGTGGCGATACGACGGCGGTAAGGTTTATTGCGTAACAATGATGGGTTACACTAACAGTTACAGCTACGGTAAAAGCAACAGTAACCGTGCTAGGTTAGTCCGGCGGAGCCCGCTCTGTGACCGGTGGGGCTGCTGACCCACCGGCCCGGAGGTCGTCCTGCATTGAGGGTCACGGTCGTGTGCCGACAGGGGGCACGAGGCCCACCAGGCGACAGCCGGCCCGGCCGGCCGGGTCCGCCCGGCCGCGTCGGCCTGCCCGGCCTGCCCGGCGAGCTGGGCCTGCCGGGCCCCGACGGCGTGCCCGGCCTGCGCGGCCTGGTCGGGCAGCCGGGCATGCCCGGCGAGCAGGGTCCGAGCGCGGGCCCGCGGCGAGCCCGGGCAGCCGGGGCAGCCGGGCCGCCGCGGTGCGCCCGGAGGCCCCGGCCGGCCTGGGATCGACGGACCGGCCGGCCTGCGCGGCGACGATAGCAGAAACCCAGGTGCGTGCTCCGCGCGGTCGGCTACCAGCGCTCCCTCACCCTCTCCCCCGGCTCGACTCTCCGCGGCTGACTCCAGGCTAAACGGCCGTCTTTTCTCCGTGGGATGGGCTCGGCAAGCGCTTGCCTCATGCCGCTGGCTCTGTTTGCCGTCAGCTGCCTGCATTTTTTCAGTGGCGATGTTATCTGCCAAACCCATGCCTGCGCTTGATTTTGGTAGCATGAAATCAGACTACACGGGTTGAATGCCCAATGCCCAGCATCCGTGATTGGTTGCCGCCCAGACGTCAGCCGTCCCGCTCAGCTGTGATTGGTTGGGATACCCAAACGTCAGCCTCCCTGCGATGCCTGTCGTCTGCGATTGGTTGAAGCACCGTGATGTCAGCCGTTCGCACATTGCGCACAGATTGATCGCTACGTTTACATTACGATCAGTCACGTAACGTGAGAAGAATAAACGTCAGTATCCCCCCCCCCCCACCGCCAAACTTCACCAAGAGCATGATAACTATATGAACAGAGTGCGCCCTGTCTGTCTGTCTGTCTGTTGTCGTCGTTTGCCTTTTGAGCCGCGTGTAAGTCGAACGACGAGTGTGACGGAAATCCCGTTGTTCATCACTGGCCGCGGTGCCCAGACCGCCCCCGTGATTGGTTGCAATGTCGGGACGTCACTCACCCGTGTCTGTGATTGGCTGGTTGTGGTGCCCTGACGCGCCCGTCTCTCCGTCAGGTCGGCCGGCCTGGCCGGGACGGCCGGGCCCACCGGGCCGGGGCGCCCCAGAAGGGCTCCGTCGGTGAACCTGGGCCTCCGGGGCCCCAGGGCTGGCCCCCGGCGCGCCCAGGCGACAAGGTGCGAGCGGCGTGTACGGCCACCGGGGCCTCCGGGCCCGCCCGGCGAGCCCGGTTCGGCCTCCAAGCGCGGCTGCCCGGGCAAAATCGGCCCTGCCCGGCCCACCTGGGCTGGCCCGGCACCATGGGCCCGGACGGGCTGCCCGGACTGCCCGGACCGCCCGGCGAACGGCCTCCCCGGCCTGCCCGGCCCCGTCCGGCGGTCCCGGGGACCGCGGACCGCCTGGACCGAATGGCCGAAGTCGGTCTCAAGGTGCGTGCGACGCTCCCGCCCGTTCCGCAGCCGAGCGTGCGTGGTCGACGTGCCATGTTTACTTAGCTGGCTGTGGTGGTTAGGTGCGACTCTCTGCTCGTGGTTATCGCACCGGAGACTGTGCGGAGGCTCTTAAAACTTGCCTCAGTTTTTGTAAAACCCCGACGGACAGCGAAGCGAAATGAGTTTGAAGCGGGCGGCGTGAACGCAACTTGGCGACGGCTCTGTGCCCGCCAGCCATTTTGCGCCTGAATGTTATTTTAGAGCGACCTTGCCCCTGGACAAGCTATCCCGCCGGGTGGCGTGCGCAGACCGTCGGGAATGACACACCCATCGTCCCTGTGCTGGGCCGTGTACCGTGTGTCTGACCTGACCTGCCCTGACCTGATTCCGCAGGCGCTTGCCCGGGGGACACGAACCGCCTGCCGGGCCTGCCGGGCCCACGTGGGGATCCAGGCGTCGACGGTCGGCCGGGGCCCGCGGGGGTCCTCGCGGCCGGCCCGGCTCGCCCCGGCTTCGGCGGCGACCGGGGCATGCCCGGCCTGGAAGGCATGCCCGGCCTGCTCGGTCCCGCCGGCGATTCTGGCACACCTGGCCCGCCCAAGGTATGACGTTCATTCGGCCCGTGGCCAGGACGGACCAATAGTGTGCTGGGGTTTATCACTGAGCACCTAAGCACTGAGCACTGCAGCACTGAGAGCTGGCACTGAGCGCCTGAGCACTGGCATGAGCACTGACACTGAGCACTGAGCGCTGGCACTGAGCACTGAGCACTGAGCGCTGGCACTGAGCACTGAGCCACTGAGCGCCGGCACTGAGCACCGAGTGCTGGCACTGAGCACTGAGCACTGGCACTGAGCCACTGAGCACTGAGCACTGAGCGCTGGCACTGAGCACTGAGTGCTGGCACTGAGCACTGAGTGCTGGCACTGAGCATGAGCACTGGCACTGAGCACTGAGTGCTGGCACTGAGCACTGAGCATGAGCGCTGGCACTGAGCACTGAGTGCTGGCATGAGCACTGAGTGCTGGCACTGAGCACTGAGCACTGGCACTGAGCACTGAGTGCTGGCACTGAGCACTGAGCACTGAGCGCTGGCACTGAGCACTGAGTGCTGGCACTGAGCACTGAGCACTGGCACTGAGGCATTGCGACCCGTGGTTGGTGATCCTCGTAGACGAAGACAGTTTGAGACTGCATAATCTGGGCGAAATTTACTGTTCGAAAAACGGTGCTGCTGATATTGATGTTTACAAACAAAATTCCGCACAGCCTCAGCGCGGAGAAATGCTGGTAAAACGCTACACAATACGGTGGTGTATTACAATGTTCAGGCAACGTCTTATTGTCCGACTGCGGTTTGGTGACATTGTATAAACACATGTCAGGTTATTGTTTTAAAGGGTGACAGACACTTGAGCTGAAAAAACAAATCAGCCCTCGTCGTGTCTAAGTAAGTAACGGGCGACATGTTAAGCTTCTCTATGGAAGTGGATGGGGTCAACGATTAGTTCGCTGGGATGAATGGTGGAAACAAATGGCAAGTGATTCTTTAAGCGGCCAAGAAGGAATAGGCCGAAGTTTTCAACACCTTTGACCAGCCAAAACGGAAAACAGGCCTGCCGGACTTCCTCCTGATCTAAATCCTTACTTTCCACGACGTAACTTGCTTGTAGAAATCGTTGTGGAAACCCCCACAACATTGAAGTGACATAACTGAGGTGTCCTAAATTGCGGGGGGGGGGGGACGGGGGGCGTCGCTCATGCTGAACTGAGCTCAGTGCCCAATGGCCCAGGCGTCTTGAATCATGCCCCCCCCCCTCCCGGCGCACTTTTTGAGGGTTCATGTCCAGGCCGGATTGTGGTAACTAATTGCACTGGACGTCGCGTCACATTTGACCTCGTTTGTCTTCATTTTGCGGGGTGCCTCATCCGCCCACGTGCCAATTATTGTGAGTGCTTTTTCGTGAGTTTTTTTCTGGTGAGCTTATCAGATCAATCGTCAATCTTCAACGCATCTCTTCAGGCGAAAAGTACCCCTATGGAATCACAAAGCGGACCTGCTTACTGAAATGCGGTTTTGTGGAATCTTGAAGAAAATGCACTGGCGTAAAGTCTCAGCGCCCGTAGATTCTGCGAGGGGCTATCGCCTCCTGTGCCAGTGGATCGTTGAACTCTGAACGGAGACAGTGCGCCATGGAACGCTTGCTTTGAGCGGTACCCTTCTGGCGCGTGGCACCCACTTGACGTGCAACTCCACTTGCACGATGCAGCACCCTCGCACCCGCGCAGCACGTCTGAACGGTTGTAACACCCCTTCGCTCTGCGAGATCCCAGTAGAGTCACAGCGTGTAACACCCCCTGCAGAGTACAACACCGCTGTTCACCCTCACACACCCGTGATCCGTCACACGCGTGTGGACGCGTCGTGATCAGTGAGGTAACCAGTGTGACGCGACGTGCAACACTCCCCACGCCGCGTCACACTCTTGTGCTGTCTAGCATCGCTACACCCCTGCGCTGTGAAACTCCAATGCACCGCACATCGCTCCTCAGCTGTGTAAGAACCCTGCATTGCATGACACCGCGGTGCTGTTTAGCACCTGAGTGGGGTGTAATAGCTCTGTATGGGTGTAACACCTCTGTGGGGATCTAACACCTGTGAGGTTTGTAACGTCTATGCGGTTGTAACGCCTCTTCGGGGTGTTGTAACATCTCTGCGGGGGTGTAGCATCTCTGCGGGGGTTGTAACACCTCTGCGGGGGTGTAACACCTCTGCGGGGATGTAACACATCTGGGGTATAACACCCTTGCGAAGCGCTGCTGCCGCAAAATGACGCGGTTTCTGCCGCAGGCCTACCTGGAGGACCGGGGTCGGCGCAGCGGTCGGCCGGTCTCCCGGGCCAGGACGGCTTCAACGGACCACCGGGCCAGGACGGGCCACCCGGACTGCCAGGCCTGGCGGCAAGCGCGGCTGCCCGGGTCGGCTGGGCCTGAAGGGCAACCCGGGCCTTCCGGGCCTCCCCGGCCGGCGGGCCCGGGCGGACCCACCGGCCGACCGGAGAGCAAGGGATGCGCGGTCCGGACGGCAGCACGGCCGCGCCGGCGGCCGGGGACAGCCGGGCGACGGGGCCAGCGCGGCCCCGCCCGGGCCCGGCACGCGTCGGTCGCGGAGGCGAGCGGGGACGGACGGGTCGCCGGGTCTGCCGGGCCTCAGTGGCCCGTCCGGCCCGGCCGGAGACCCTGGCGGATTGACGGCGACAGCGGCCTGCCCGGCCTGCCCGGCTTCGACGGGCCGCCGGGATCTCACCCAAGGGCGAGCGCGGCTACGACGGCGGCCCCGGCAGGAAGACGGCGTGCCGGGCCGCGACGGTGGGCCAGGCCAGCCGGGGCCAGCCGGGCCCGACGGTAGACCGGGACCGTCCGGCGACAGGGGTCTGGACGCACCGCCGGGCTTGCCGTGAGTCAGGGGCCGCCGTCACCGCCGCCACCAGCAGGGTGGGTGTGATTTGCGGAAGCAAAGACGGTGAAGTGTTGAGAGCGATCAGCTTTGCAGCCGTGACGGTACAAAGAAAACAGTCCTAACATGGTTTGAAATGGAAGGATTGGTTCCTAATGCGCGAGAAGCTTTTAAACAATCGGCACGTGGCTTGAGCTATGTGTTTTCTCAGTGTGCAGAATGTGCCGGCCTGGCAGGCGGCGATGGTGCAGACTGTGCCCCGCTCTTCAATGCGCGGACAGCACGGTCACCATTCAGTGGCGTAGCCAGGGTTTCCCCCTGGAGGGGACCAAATTGGGTCACAGGGGGCCCTTTCAGTCAACGGGGTCTTCTTTTGCCGCTTTGGGCCCTTTGTTTTATTCGGAGTTTCATTTTGAGGCTAGGGGTCCTATTCTGATGCCTAGCGAGTCTATTTTTTGTTTTTGCAATCCATTCAAATTTCGAGGCTTTAAAATGCAAAGAACTGGGGGGCATCGGTCTCAGACCCCTCTCCCCCGCCACCCCCAGGGGTATGGGCCCCAAAAGCTTCCTCTCTTGGCTACCGCCTCTGCCCATTGCCCCAGTCGTGACCTATTTGCGTGTCTAGGCCTATCTTGACCTGCACCTGCCGCACCCGGCAGCAGCGCGTCTGACCTGCGCCGCTCTGACCTGTGCCTCGCCCTCCGGCAGCGCCAGCGGGGGTGAGCCCGGCTACCCGGCCCTCGACGGTCTGCCCGGACCGAGAGGCTATAAGGGCGGAGCCCGGCCTTCCCGGCCTGGACGGCCGGGGCGGGAACCGGGCCGGCCAGGCGACCGCGGCCTGGACGGCCTGCCTGGCTCGCCGGGCCCGGCGCGGCCAGCGGGGTTGCCCCGGCGCGCCCGGCACCTGGCTGGACGGCGGACCTGGCCTGCCGGGCGAACGCCGGCCCGGACGGCTTCCCCGGGCTGGCCGGCCGGCCCGGCGAGCCCGGCCTGCCGGGGTTGGACGGCCTGCCGGGCGGGTTGGGAGAGCCGGGCCTGCCCGGCCTGCGCGGCCCGCCCGGCTGGCGGCCGGGCCCGCCCGGGCCCACCGGCGACCCCGGCGGCCGCGGCCCGCCCGGGCCCTACGGCCCGCCGGGAGGCCGGGGCCCCTCCTGGCGACGACGCGCCGCAGACCGGGCCGCCGCCGCCCTCGCGCGGCTTCTTCTTCACGCGGCACAGCCAGTCGACGTACGTGCCGCAGTGTCCGCCCGGCACCAGCCAGCTGTGGCAGGGCTACTCGCTGCTGCACGTCACTGGAATGCCAAGGCTCACGGCGCCGACCTCGGTGAGCGCAGTTTCAGACTCTATAATGATCCTGGACGTAGACCCGCGCGTCCCACCATGCCAGTGCACGCATACACTCTGAGTCCGCATGCAGAGTCCGCCTTAACGCCTGATGTGAACGCACCACAGGTACGCCAGGCTCCTGCCTGCTCAAGTTCACCACCATGCCGTACGTCTTCTGCAGGCGGCAACGAGAAGTGCGAGTATGCCCAGCGTAACGACTACAGCTATTGGCTAAACACGCCGGAGCCGATGCCGGTGATGATGACAACCGATTACGGGGGTTAACATCCAGCGGTACATCTCACGGTACGCGGGTGATGAGGATGTGTCCAGCTGGTACGCCTGTGATGAGGGGTGTGTTCAGCTGGTACGCGTGTGATGAGAGTATATCCAGCTGTTACGCGTGTGATGAAAAGTGTATCCAGTTGGCACGCCTGTGACGAGAGTATATCCAGTTGGCACGCCTGTGACGAGAGTATATCCAGTTGGCACGCCTGTGACGAGAGTATATCCAGTTGGCACGCCTGTGACGACAGTATATCCAGTTGGTACGCCTGCGACGAGAGTATATCCAGTTGGTACGCCTGTGACGAGAGTATATCCAGTTGGTACGCCTGTGACGAGAGTATATCCAGTTGGTACGCCTGTGACGAGAGTATATCCAGTTGGGTACGCCTGTGACGAGAGTATATCCAGTTGGTACGCCTGTGGACGAGAGTATATCCAGTTGGTACGCCTGCGACGAGAGTATATCCAGCGGGTTCGCGTGTGACGAGAGTATATCCAGTTGGTTCGCCTGTGGACGAGAGTATATCCAGCGGGTTCGCCTGTGATGAGAGTAGTTCCAGCTGGTACGCATGTGATGAGAGTATATCAAACTGGAACGCCTGTGATGGGGGGTGTATCCAGCTGGTACGCCTGTGATGAGGAATATATCCAGCTGGTACGCGTGTAATGAGAGCATATCCAACTGGAACGCCTGTCATGGGGGTGTATCTAGCTGGTACGCCTGCGATAAGAGTATATCCAGCTGGTGCGCCCGTGATGAGGGTGTATCCAGCTGGTACGCCTGTGGTGAGGGTGCATCCGGCTGGTACGCTTGTGGTGAGGATGTTATCCGGCTGGCACGCGTGTGATGAGAGTGTATCCAACTGGAACACCTGTGATGAGGGCGTATCCAGCTGGTACGCCTGTGATGAGAGTATATCCAGCTGATACGCCTGTGATGAGAGTATATCCGGCTGGTACGCCCGTGATGAGAGTGTATCCAGCTGGTACGCCTGTGGTAAGGGTGTCCACAATCCACACCGAGTGATGTGTCACACTGTCAGAGTGACGTGCCAGACAGTCAGAGTGGTGTGCCAGACAGTCAGAGTGGTGTGTCAGACAGTCAGAGTGACGTGTCAGACAGTCAGAGTGGTGTGTCAGACAGTCAGTATGCATGCTCCGCGAACGGCTTTCGGCTAATTTACCGAAAATCAGGTGGTGCCCATACACCGAATTGGTTCTCAAGTTTCCCATCTTTTCAGGGGCGTAGTTTCCTATTCAATTGAGGGAACTCCAGCCCCTTCTCCCCTCCCCCCAAACACACATGGCCTCCAGCCCCCCCCCCCCCCCTACACACACTTGGACCCCAGGCCCCCCAACTGTTAGAAGAAAGTGGACCAAACCCGGGAAGAAGAAGAAACCACTTTGTTGGCTATTTCCGCGTAGGTTTCGTCATTTTTCACTTTCAGCCTCCATCCACCCGAACCCATTTTGCCAAACTACGCCCCTGTATCTTCCACATATGCTTGCATCTGTTGCAGCTGTTCTGTGTGTGAAGCACCAACAAGAGCCATAGCCATCCACAGCCAGGACGTGGCCATACCGGAGTGTCCAGCCAACTGGGAGGAAACCATGTGGACCGGCTACTCCTTCCTCATGGTGAGGCACGACGTTGTTGGAAGCCTTTGCTACCCGCAGGTTTACGCACGAGTTTTCAGTTGACGTTTCTTCTGACGATCCCACTGATGTATTCGTGCTTATTTTTGATCTATGTTATTTCTGTATTATTTTTGCTATATGCTGATGTTTCCGTGCTTATATTTCGAAGCTAAGTATTAAGCAAGTCTTCCGCGGCAATGAGGCGGCGAGCGATGTATATACACTGGCACCTTACTCTTCTCAAATTCAAACTCCCGTTTGAATTCGGTTTGCATGACCAATATGGCTACTAGCTCGTGTGAGTCTGGCCGTTTGCGTGTGACACCATCACTACACATGTGACTGTAAACTACCAGGTGGCTGTTAACTACCCATGTGACCGTATATCTGCCCATGTGACTATTTGGCCGTCCTCGCGTCCACAAACCGTGCTTGTGAGAATACGACTGGGCCTGTCACGGCCAAAGTGTGACCAAAACCTCGCTGGGACCGACGACTCTGCTGTTGTGCTGGGGCCTGGCTGCCCCGTCGGTGACCGAGGCCGGCTGTGCCGCAGCACACGGACGCGGGCGCCGAGGGCGGCGGCCAGTCGCTCGTCTCTCCCGGCTCCTGCCTGGAGGACTTCCGGCCGACGCCCTTCATCGAATGCCACGGCCACGGCCGCTGCAACTTCTTCACCACCGCCTACTCCTTCTGGCTGACCACCATCGCCGAGTACGCACAGTTCCGCCAGCCCGCAGCAGCAGACGCTGAAGGCGGGCAACTTGCGAACACGCGTCTCGCGCTGCGTCGTCTGCCGCCGTCGCTACCGACTGCCGCCGCCGCCGCCGCCGCCGCCCTCGTGGCAGTTCGAGCTGCCGTTCTATGGGCGGTCCGCACGACACGCACCCGGCAACAGCACGGCGCCGGCCGCCTAGCGGGCGGGCCGCCGCCGCCGCTGGGGACCGCACGACGTCACGCGTGACGAGCGTGACGCGACGAGTCCGCACCGGGGCAGCCTGGGGCGCCAACGGCGCGGCGGGGCGCCCGCGCGCGCCAGGGTCCCGGGCTACGCCACATTCACTGCCATAACACTGCCCATTCACTGCCCAACGCTGCCCGGGTCCGCCGCCGGCTGGAGGGGTGGGGGGGGGGGGGAGGTGTTCGCGAGGACGATCAGGGGGCGTCTGTGCTCGGAGGGTGAGGCGGCTGCTGCCGTGCCGTAGCGGAGGACGTGGAACGTGACGTGCCGTGGAGTCTGTCCTAGGACGTGCCAGTGCTACGCTCCACATGTGGTGGCACGTGCCTCACACGGCCCCGGCAGTGATGGCCCGGACGCACGCGTCGCTCTGGGTCCCGCTGCCGGTAGTGATGGCTCGGACGCACGCGTCGCTTTGGGTCTCCTTGCCGGTAGTGATGGCCCGGACGCACGCGTCGCTCTGGGTCCCCAGCCGTGATTAAGGTTTCCGTGTCAATGGCATTGCGACCAGCCAGCGGAACGCAGTGCCTGAGAAAATCGCGACAAAATTGGAAATTGTACGAAACGGTACGGTGCTCAGTGATATCAACGCACGATGAAGTGGTATGTCATAAATACACGGCTAGCTGTGAATCATACACGGTGCGATTGATAACCAACGTGAATCATTATCACATGATCGCTTTTCGGCAAACGCAATCGATTGTGCAGATCTTAGCGCAGTGAGCAGTGAAAGTCCAGCTTGATCGAAAGCTTATGTGCGTTAACGGCGGCGGGTCGGTGATCTCACAGCA